CCAGATCAGATCTGGAGACCAGTTACCAGATAAGAATTACCACAGAATAGATCACAATTTATCAAGATCAGATCCAAATTAGAAGGCAGAAACAAAAGGTCAAAAATGTAACAATTAACTGCAACATAGCAAGTCATATTTGACCAAGTAATGCAACAGGTCAATAAAAAGACAGTGAAGGAAGTAGGTTCATTAATGCCTTAGTGGTGCACCTGAAAGAAAAAGGAATGAGTTATAAATGGAGAAATTTGTAATAGTCTTATCTCAGAATTGTACTTTGAAAAAGCAGGATAGGACATCCTAAAGGTGCTTTTTCAAGAGGCAACTGGACTTTCTTGTTTTTTCTATGAAGATGTTTTGCTTCTCATCCAAGAAGCTTCTTCAGCTCTGTAGCAATTGCACTTAGACTTATATACCACCTCACAGTGCTTTACAGCCCTCTCTAAGTGGTTTTCAGAGCCAGCATATTGTCCCACAACAATCTGGGTCCTCATTTTACTGACCTCAGAAGGATGGAAGGCTGTGTCAATCTTGAGCCGGTGAGACCCAAACTGTCAAATTGCTGGCAGCCGGTGATCAGCAGAAGTAGCCTGCAGTACTGCATTCTAATCACTATGTCACTGCGGCTCTTCTGAAGCTTCTTGAAAAAGCAAGAAAAAGCACCTTTGGGATAACCATGACCTGGATGACCGAGCATCTCTACAAACTGTAAGTAGGATAGGAGTGGATAGGAATAAGATTGATATGGGATCATCGAACAAGGTTCTCATCCAAGGCATAAAGGAGCAGGTTCAAATTATGCCACACATTGTGCAAAGACCTAACTCTCTTGAGAAGGTTCTACTACTGGGAAAGGTCGAAAGTAAGAGAAGAAGAAGATGTTCAGCAGCAATGTAATGCAGCTCCTGCAGGAGAGGTGGCACATGTGCATACCAGGGTCTGCACAAAACCATGTGGGCCGCTGCCTTTTGCACCAACTGGAACTTCCAGATGTTCTTCAAAGGGCATCTACCCAGCCCGTTAGAGCAGGGAGGCAGGGAAAGTTGCGGGTCCCATCCCTGAGGGAGATACACCTGGTGGGACCCAGAAGAAGAGCCTTCTCCGAGATTAGAATGGCCCCCACTCTAGCACTCTTTAGGAAGGCACCGAAGACCTGGTTTTGCCAGCAGGCCTGGGGAACCCAGGGCAGGATGGAGTCCATCAAAAGGCTAGTGTGATCTGCAGTTGTCGGGGCAGGGGGTGGGAGTTGGGCGGTATTTTTTTTATTTTTTTCCCCAGATTTTGTTCTATTGTACTTTATTAATTTATTTGATTCTTTTTGTTAGTTTTTATTGTTTTTTTATTTTTATTTTTGTTTTAAATATGGTTTTACATTGTGTAAGCTGCCTCAAGTCACCATGGGCGAATAGGTGGCAATATTAAACAAACAAACAAACAAATAAATAAATAAGATGGAATTATCAGTTACAGTGGTAATGATTGGAAGACCTGAAAGACCAAGTTAGCAGCAGAGAAAATTGATCTATGTGGTTACTAGGAATTCACAATTACTTAATGACACATTAATCATCTCATATTGTTTCCATCCATTAGTATGGATTTTTTTAATGCCTGGACTGACAAGCTTTTAAGGAGGTTGAGCATATTTGGAGTGTAGACAATCAAGCCTTCCAAAGATGCTATCTATCCCCTCTCAACACAACATTGTCTTTCAAAATAAATAATTAAGTAACCAACCTCCAATATTATTTTCAAAGAATGATTTTATTCTGTGAAGGGCCTAGTGGAAGAGAGCATTCTTGGAAATAAAAATCATGCTTGAGGCTGGCATTTTGCTTTGAAACATGCTTGTTTCTATTTTAGAGAACGACAGGGAGAAAAGCCAGGTGGGATTGGCAGCCTGCTGGACATCAAGGGAGATGTTTACTCCAACAGCCAGATGTCAAGTAGAAAGAGGGGTTTTCCCTATAGACAAGGCAAATGGCAAAAGCAGCATTGCTATAGTGCAAGAGCTCTGCGCTCTTATGTGTGGGTCATGACATCGCATGCAGATAAGTGGTGCAGTGCTTAGAAGTGGAGTTCTTGCCTCACAATCAGAAGGCTGTGAGTTTGATCTTATGTAAAGGCGGATATTTCTCTCTCTGCGCATGATGAGAATGTATCTGCTGACTGTAACTCCACATTGGTGACAGGAAGGGCATCTGGCCAGTAAACACTCACCTCCATTCAGCTGCTCAGACTCCACCCCACAAGGGGTTATGGAGTCATTAAAAGAAGATGATGACATTGCATGCAGATCCATTGCAATAGCAGACTGCTACTCTTGTCATTTGAAAGCTTCAAATCCTGCAGATAACCTCTATTTTTTTTTCTTTTTCCCCTTCGTAACCACGTTGCCTGAAATGCCATAGATAGAATTTGAATTTTTGGCAGGCTGCTTGTTTTGCCTACGCAGATCTATCTCCCCATTAGACAAAAAAAAAAAAAAAAAACACTTAAAATTTCCTTTTGAAAATGCACACTGGAGCTCAAAAACAGTAAGGGTGAAATATGAATCAATATAGCCCTTGAAATTGTAGATTATTTGTTTTCATGTGCCTGGCAAGCTTCAGTTCATAAATATCTGAAAGGTAATAAAATCTTCACCCCTGATCTTAAATCAGTATATCCTTCTAACTCTGAAAATGGGGGTATCTCTGCTAAAAAAATGTTTTGTTAAAAGTTGGGGAACTTGTTTACTTGATTTTTGGTACATGATTAACATTTGATAGGTCTCCTCCGATTTTCTTTGGGGGCAGTAATTGGAGACCGTATTTAGATTGCTGATTTTTAAATCAATCATTATCTAAATATTTGCTTGCTATTGCTCAAACTCTAGACAGATTAGAGATGTTACCCATGTTACCAACACACTGAGTAAAAACGTGACGTTTCTGTCTTCTTATTAAGAGATGGAAGATTGTACCTCTGGGTGAGAACTGTGATGCTTCTGAAAGAATTTGTCCCACTGTGCACTGCTGAGCTGTCAGGAAATGTGTAAAATATCCATGATTATCTTCAGAATGATGTTCTTGCCCAAAATGAAGAGCTGATCCCTAGCCTTACTGTTTGTAGTGACAATATTGGCTGGAAACATATCAGCTTACTGCACAAAGCAGACAAACATTTAGCCACATCCTATTTTTATCTAGGTCTTCTTCTCCTAGGAAATAACAGGAGGAAAGCATTCAAACCAATACAATGTCTTAGAGCCTGACAGGCTGTGGAGTGCAAGACAACAGTGCTAAATTTTGCATGTCAATGTTTGTCATTTGGAACCTGTATTTTTCTTGAACCTTTACTTAAAAAACTGTCTGGCCAGGGTCTTCCTCCTCATGGGTTTTTCCCAACGTGAGGCAAGATATGAGGGACATGTACAGCCAGAAATTATGTAAAGACTGCTGCTGACACAAATATTACGTGTAAATAACATCTATAAAGTCCAGTGTGTCTGCTTAGAGTTATTACTGGTAGATTTATTTCATACACACATATAAACATGGACACACACACACACACACACACACACAATATTTGATCCTTTTTATTTTAAGCAATACCCAATTTCAAAGATTTTCTGTAAGACAAAAAAATAGACTAGGTTTTTAGACTTGGTTGTATCAGTGCCACTGGCAACAATATCTGCTAAGGTAGGAAGAAAATTAAAGGAGCCATTGCCCAGTGGTTTGACTTCCAGAGAGAGAGAGACAGAGAGGGAGAGAGAGAGATAGACAGGGGGAGGGGGGAGGGAGGGAGGGAGAGAGAGGGGGAGAGGGGGGGGGGGGGGAAGGGAGGGAGGGAAAGACAGAGAGAGAAAGAGGCAAGAGAGAGAGAGAGAGAGAGCATCCTTCAGACAGTGACATGCTCAGAACGTAACTACTATGATCTACTTTAACCAGGCTGTCCTTGAAAACCACTCAGAAGCTTCAGTTGACCCAGAATTCAATGCCATAGACAGTATGCCCTCATGATACCTCTGCTTCACGAGCTGCACTGGTTACCAGAATGCTTTTGAGTGTAATTCAACGTGCTATGTGACCTGTATAGGTGTCAGCTGCACTAAGGAGAGTAGAGCATGAAACCTATTCATAAAAGAGACTAAGACTACTTTCTAAGAGCCATGGTGACTCAGTGGTTAGAATGCAGTACTGCAGGCTATTTCTGCTGGATGCCAGCTGCAAGCAGTTTGGCAGTTTGTGTGTATGTGTGTGTGTGTTTGTGTGTACAGTAATTAGCCAGGGGCCTCGGTTTTTCTTCATTCTTTTCTTACAATTATTAAACAAATTCATATAGCCTCTCAACTCACACATAGGTCAAAAATTATTGTATTGTATTTGCTGTTCTGCTTGGTTTTTCTATTGTACCTATCCACAGGCAGTTCAGATTTGGACAGTGCCTAAATTGAGAAAGTAAATTGAGTTAGAGTAAATAAAATTATTCTTCTGTTGTTTAACTTAGAAGGAATGTGTCATGTTTCCCTCTGTGGGAAATGTATCAGATGGGAATCCAAAAGAAAATCTTAGTTTTATCCCTGTCCACAGCACTTGAATTCAACTGTGCCTACTTTACTATTTTCTGATAGAAAATGTAAATTATTACTTTTCAGATGGATTTTGGAATTGACTGACTGCTCATGTTGCTTGTATGGAGAGGGTGCTCTCTATGGGGAGCACACCAGATTTGTTACAGCTTTATTTGGATTGTTGCTATGCCTTTCTTTTGAAATGGTTCTATAATATCCATATTTTAGATTTACTCTTGTAAACTATCAGTACTTGGGTGTAAAGTCTAATGTGTTTTGCAAGAAGCAGCAGCATAGATTTCAAAGCATGATTCCTTTGCAGAAGTGATTGTTATATTCAAACTCAGTTATCTCATCAAACTGGTCATGACCTTCCCTCTGTGTGCAAATAGGTCAGTGTTGCATCAAACTCATTCATATTCTGCTTATCCCATTTTAGCCTTGAAGAAAGGACGGTTCTGGATCACACCTGACCCATATCATAAAGACGACAACATTCAGATTGGAAGAGAGGTCAAGATTTCTTGTCAAGTGGAAGCGATTCCCTCTGAAGAGCTCATGTTCAGTTGGTTTAAAAATGGTCGACCACTGCGCAGCTCTGAAAGGATGGTGATTACTCAAACAGATCCTGATGTCTCTCCTGGAACCACCAATTTGGACATCATTGATTTGAAATTTACGGATTTTGGGACATACACATGTGTTGCAGCTCTGAAAGGTGGTGGTATCTCAGATATCAGCATCGATGTCAACATTTCCAGCAGCACAGGTGAGGGTGTTTCTGTAACTTCCCATTAGAATTCAGTGCCAATTATTTTAGGAAGACAGCAAGCTTTCTGAAAGAAAGCCAGGTCATTTTTCCCATCGGAACCCAATGGTATGAGCAAACTGCAGCCATCAGCCTAATTTCAATACCTTTTCCTTTGCAAACTAGTTTTATGGAAAATGCAAACCCCCTTCTTCAGTGGGAATGAAAGAAAGAGAAATAAGAGTGTGTCAAAAATAAAGGATATAAGAAATATAAAGTTTTTTTTAAAAAAAAATAAAGTTTAGAAAAAGAGAATAGGTTGTCCTTCTCCTGTTTATGTGTCATTAGTCATTGGCAATCTTCCCCCTGCAAATTATTCCCAAAAACATAGAGACCTTGCTACACTCTCTGCTTAACCACGCAGCTGTTTTTACAATGCATTCCCACCCACACACCCAGTCTCCTTAAAAATACAGGCAACTAACTGGTGGAGATTTTGCATTCAAAGCACATATGCTGTCACTGTACTATGACCCGTCAAAATATTTCCACATTGATGTTGGAATGCATATGAGAAACATTTGAAGATCTGAAAATAGCTTGGCTCATAGGAGTGGGGGGAATTGTTCCTTGGTGGTGTATTTCATTTCAGTTCTAGCAAATATATGCCAAAAGGCAGAACATGTGTATTACTGTATGTGTGTGTCAAGGAGAGATTATTAAATGTCTGGCATATGGTGGATGAATAATAGTTGCTTGTGTTTGTCTTGTCTAAAGCAGAGGGGGCCATCCTATCCATGTTCTCCTGCAACAAAAAGCAACCAATGCATTACCTTTTCTAGAAAAAGATTCATTTGGCCAAGCAATTGGATGTATCAGAAGAATCCATCAGATGGCTGTATCTGAAAGCTTTTCATAGCTTCTTCAGCCAGTGATAGATTATGCTACTCACTGGACTTGGTGCTTCACCATGTGTAAAGAAAAGTCAAAAGAGAGAAAGAGGAAAACCAATGCTTTCAGGATGTTAATACTTTCAAATCAGTTGTAGTATCACCTTGGTCATAAAACAACTGTGGATATCTCGCTATGTATGTAAAATCATTACTAACTTATCAAAATCCATGTTAACGATTATTTAGCTATGGATTTATATACTTTATATTTTTGTTAAATAAATTCAAAATAATTAGTACAAAAATTATATATCATGAAATGAATTGGACATGCAAATGTATTAATTCTGTTAAAAGTAATCCTGCAGTCTAATTAGTTCCAATAAATAAAACCTAATTTCATACTTTAAAATGATGAACAATATTTAATAACTGAAGCATATAATTTCAAGCCATGTGCAAAACTTGAGGGAAAAAAAAGTTAAAATATGCAACACACTAACTGTTAGGTGAGGACATACATAGACCCTGGAAGTTAGAAACTTTTAAACATGCAACATACTAACTGTTAGGTGAGGGCATACATAGATCCTAAAAGTTAGAGATTTGACAAGACATTGTACCCTGTAAACTGAAAGAAATGGAAGGAAAGCTATCTTTTAGCAGTAAGTAGATGGCATTTCCAAGGAGACATCCTTTCTCCTGGGTGTCCCATTTAAGTATTGGTGTTGAGCCCTTATTGTAGGCATGTTGTGGAACTCTCAAAAATATCTCAAAGATGGGACTCAAAGGCTGCTGTAGAAGGTCATAGTCAATCCCAAAACATCTATTTACCAGGAAATAATCTACAAATACATCCTGACACAACTCTTAACTCTGCAGGATATATCTCTTCACCTTACCTTTGTTCTTTTGCTTGGCAGAGGTGCATCCTCTAAAAATTCCAACTTTTTTTTTCCAGTTTTTATTCTGGTCTATGTGACTCGGAGGCATTCTTCTAAATAAATATGTTGCCAGAGGCAAGCATTTAGCTTTGTGGAATCCCAGCTTACCTTGCATCTTTCATTTTTGAAATCTATCATCCATCTATCTTTTGGTTCAGTGAACTTGGAAACTTGTATTGGTAATACCAGATTTACCATTTCACCTCGTGCATAATCCATCACCTATTTTTGTGGGTCCATGGTGTGGAAACTGCCTTCCCTGCATCCTGTTTTGTGCAAAAGGGGTTCTAAAGTACCTCCTCAGCATCTCATTTAAGACTCTTGAGGAGCAGGACTTGGAACATTCACAGCTTGAAACCGTGAGGAAATTCAGCCACCCCAAATATATAATAGTAGGCTTTTTGTTTGTCTGAATTCTTCAGAGCTTTTGCATCTGATTGGTAAAGCCAATACATCAACCTGGTTAAACAAGATGCTGCACTTGATCAGTGTTTTTCAATCTTGGTAAGTTTTTAGGTATGTGGACTTCAACTCCCAAAATTCTCCGCTACCTTAAACTTGGCAAGGTTGAGAAACACTGAATTCGATGTTATCATATATCATTTCTCTCAACAAGCAAAATACAATTGGCCTTCATCGTGTTTTTCAAAGGTATTACTTACAATTTTAAAGTATGTTTCCATAGTCTATCAAATATATTTTCATATTCTTTCACATTCGGTCTTTAATTTGGATAGGATGGATCAGGGTGGGTTGCTTTCCTTTCAACTAACTTTTTTTTTAATCTACAAAATAAATTTGCCAATTAAATGTCACTTTCTTATTAAATACTGGCTCTCTGGCCCTTCTGGTGGACTGCAATGGGTATTCTGGGTAACTTTGACAGTGTATGAAAGCAATAATCTTCTTTCTTTTTAATTCAAAAGTGCTTATTAATGTTATTTTTCTTAACGTTGTGTCTGTTGTCATAATAATAAAAGTAATTTTCTGGTCTATATAATTAATGTCTCAAGTCAGGGCATTTTCAAGCTGCAGGCAATCATTTAAAAAACATCACTTTTAATATTGCCATTTATTGACTGGGAAAATGCCCTTTTTAATTGAGAAGTTTTGATGTTGTTTTTCTTCATTTTATCCCTGAAAACAAACAGAAGGAGATGAAATTCAGGGGTTTTGCAAAACATAATTATATGTCATTTTTAGGCTTTACATATTATGGCAATGAGCTCAAGATGGCTGCACAACCAGACAACTGAAGCCCCACCCCTTTTTAATACAAATGACACATATTTCTTTAAAAGGGCCCATTGTTTTGGCATTGTTGACCTCTCCCAATGGATGCTTTGGGCAATTTTACTCATGACTCCATTTGGTTTTCTTGTTAATTACTTCAATTAATCACACAGTCAGCCAGATGTTCAGATTGGATTTGGCATTTTTATCCAACTATCAAGTCCTTCCCAAGGGATAGGCATAGGTGGATGTTTAATGGTGTTAAAGATATTGTTGCAGGATGTAAACTGTTCTGAGTAAAGTTGCCTTTTGCAACTCATCGTCATCATATTCCTAGCATTTCCATCCCACCCCCCGCATAGATGCAGGGTCCACATTTTGGATAACAAATGCCATCTTGTGTAATAAAACGCACTACCCAGGTCTAACTGGGTGAGTTGCATTTTGCAACTGACTGATGGTAATTATATCAATGCCAACGATATTCTAGCAGTGCTCCAAACCACCTATCTGTATCGTAGAGGAAATTTGGGTGGTGTACAATAAAGTATTAAAAGCATAAAACCAGTATACAAAATTTACAGTGTCAAGAAATATTAACAATTGATTAAAAGGAAGGGAGATCTCTTATTGTCAATAATCAATGGGCAACATTGTACTATACTGTAATGTCCTTCTTTGTGTGGTCAATTTTGTCCAGCAAGTTGTTTTCAACAATGCTAACAAGCAGTGGTATTCTGCCACACAATGGATAGTTGATGTTTTAATTTTAGTCAAAGAGTAGGAGTTGGATAGGTTGCTGGGTTTTAGATGAACTGAATATGGCTCTTGCTGCTTTTGTTTATATATCTTTTGTGTTTATTTCTATTATGGAGCTGCAGGAGTAGCACTATAGTTAAAACCATTCTTCGTTTTTCAATGTTGTACCACAGCAAGATCTAAAAACTAATATGATCATCATAAAATCAAGGCAAGTTCTTTGATGAAGAGCATTAACGTAGCCACATTTCAAGGAGAAAAAAGAGAATAATGTCTGCATTCTTTCCTTGCTGTTATTTTAGTTCTATATATTTGTTTTAATGAGTAAAGATCTCAGTAAACATTTTGATTCCTCAGTGTAGTGGATTGAGTAGACTGAGAAAACATATAGATCAATGGACTAGCAGAAAATACCCTATTTTTATGAATTTGGATTATTTCCATATTTCTTTGTTATTAATGTGTTTGGTTTTAAATTGCCTAACTTACTAAAGCAGTGACTCTGGGTGGCTTACAATATAATGAATAAGTTAACAAGTGCAAAAAAGCAGTAGCAATTTCTAATATTATTAGAAGAATATTACTATTAGAATAAAAAGTTAAAAATAAAAACCAATTAATTATTAAATCTTCTCTACTCTATCAGTCAAACCCAATGTAATAAGTCCCTGTTGGGGTCTCACATCAAGTGGCAGAACCTACCTTTAGACTTTCAGAAATTCAGGATCATGCAAGACAGATCTCACATATGACAGGAGTGTGAGGGCCACAATAGTAAAGGCTCTTCTTGTTAGGCACAAGAAACCAGGAAGTGGGATAGAGTTCAAAAGTATGAGGAGTTTATTTAATGCCACCTATAGAAAGTATCTGATCTACTAATGGTCAAGGCAAATTGGCCTAGATAAGAGTCTACAAAATTATGGGAGGCTGGACTTAGTTCTCTTGTATGATTATAGCAACTCCAAACTGATTACATTTTTGATCCTGTTCTTGGGCTCAGCCTGGTCATCTCCTACTTCCATTGGGTTTGTCTAGGCTAATGAAGAGAAGAACTAAGGGGTGACACAGTAGTACTGCTCCAATATTTGAGAGGTTGCCACAAAGAAGAGTGGGGTCAACCTATTTTCCAAAGCACCAGAAGACAAGACAAGAAACAATGGAAGGAATCTAATTGAGGAGAAAAGCAACCTAGAACTAAGAAGAAATTTCCCAACAGTGAGAACAATTACTAGCCTTCAGAAGCTGTGGGAGTTTTAAGAAGAGATGGTCTGGAATGGGGTCTCCTACTTGAGCAGGGAGTAGGACTAGAAGACCTCCAACATCCCTTCCAACTCTGTTATTCTGTAAAAGTACTGCCCTTCTCATGGCCTTTTGTTTTGACCACTTGGGTGTCTGTTTTCCAATAAAGCAGAATTTTTATTTTTATTTTGTGTAATGCACATACATGCAGACTTAGTTCTAGGAAAAGGGAACAGGTGTTTCAGGCATTGTCAAAATTATTTGGCTACCACTGAATTACTACATCTGGGAAAAAGAGATAGCACTACTTCCTATTTTACTTCAGGCAGACAGGCTCTTAAACAGGCTCTCAGTGAAGACTAAAAGAGAGATGTGCATGTTGAAATGTGTATTTGGGAATATTTATTTATTAAATGTACTTACTTATTCATTAAACTTCTATGCCACCCATCTTGGGATTCAAGGCAACTCTGGGCAGCTTACAGTATAATAAATATATGGTATAATGGAAAACATGAAAATAGTGTGCATGAGAGAGACCAAGTAGGTGCATGTCAATTGAAAAGCCATTGCACATAAACAAAGATATGCAGAATTTATATTACTTACAGTGTTATCTGTTTGATGGAAAAATGATAAAATTGACAAAAAATGAAAGATATGCTCCTACTCTACATATGGGGCTACTGGAGCTATGGCAATCTAAAACAGGTAATCTTGGGCATTGCAAGACTTGAGAAGGGCTCTGGAAAAAATACTTTGCAAGTAGCAGTTCCTGACTAATATTTGGTTGAGTTTGAAGATAGCTAACAAGGATGGACCTGATTAATAGTTGGCCAAAAGGCAATCCCAAGGCTATAGGCCAGTTTGGGAAGTTAAACAACCCAAAAGAAGGCAGTGAGAGACATTTTTCACTTTTGCTTTGGACAAAGCAAAAGGCCACATGAAGGCAGGGTTGGGATGCTACCAGTTCTGCTCGGCTCTATAGAACTGGTAGTTCTGAAGAGCAGCAGACATAGAACTGGTTCTGTGTCTGTTGCTGTTGGCCCAGCTACCTGCCTGGGCTGTTACCTGACCTTTATTTCCTGTTTTTTCCTGTGCATTGCATGGCACAGCTGAGGTTGGAAAAGCAGTAAAAAGTGGTTTTTCAAATGCTGCGCACTCGCGCGCATTGCTTATCAGCCATCCAGGCGGCACAGCTTTAGGTGTATTACATGCACACACAGCATGTGTCTGGCGTGCATGCGCATAAAACGTAATCACTGAACCGGAAGTAACACCGGTTGAATCCCAACCCTGCGAGAAGGGAAGTACTTTTTACATTTCCTCCCCCAAACCCCAGTGTGTATCTTTATGTGGTTACTAGAACCGTGGTTGACTTGAAGGAGTCTTTCTCTTTACTAACAAAATATTGCCAGAAGAAAATAGCCATATTTTGATAGCCATAGAACTGACATTGTGATTTCCAATGTAGTAAAATCAGAACATAACTTCACACATATTGTTATACATACTCAAGAATATGATTTATTTCACCCAAACTACCAATTAACAAAGAAGAGGTCAGATTAAGCCATCAATGAGATATGGGTATTCATGTGCCTCCCCATTATAAAGTAAATAAATGTCCTCTTAAAAAAATGATACACAGAGAACAGGCAAGATTCTGTTCTCTTCCTTGTTCCTTATATTGGGGTGTGCATAATACCATATCAAAATATATTCAGGTATGAAATTCTCTTTGCTGAATACAAATAATTTTGCATCAATGAAAAAAAAAAGTTCAGTGATTGATGTATTCGTTTATTTTTGTTATTCACCCTCCCACAAAAAAGATTAGCTATGAAGTAAAGTAATTTCATAGAAGGTAATTATATGAAGAACGGTTGCAGGAATTGGGTATGTCTGGTTTAATGAAAAGAAGGACTAGGGGTGACAGGATGGCAATGTTCCAATATATAAGGGTCTGCCACAAAGAAGAGGGGGTCAATCTATTCTCCAAAGCTCCTGAAAGCAGGATAAGAAGTAATGGATGGAAACTAATCAAGGAGAAAACCAACCTAGAAAGAATGATAAATTTTCTGACAGTTAGAACAATTAATCAGTGAAGCAGCTTGCCTCCAGAAATTGTGGGTGCTCCATCATTTGTCATTTTTTAGAAGAGACTGGACTATCATTTGTCTGAAAAGATATAGGGTCTGCTGCTTGAGCAGTGGGTTGGACTAGAACAGGGGTCCCCAACCTTGGCAACTTTAAGCCTGGCAGACTTCAACTCTGTTCTACTTCAACAGAATTCTCCAGCCAGCTTTGTTTCCCCAGCTTTGCCGGCTGGGGAATTCTGGGAGTTGAAGTCCTCCAGGCTTAAAGTTGCCACGGTTGGAGACCCCTGGACTAGAAGACGTCCAACTTCCCTTGCAACTCTGTCATTTTATGATTCTGTCATACTCTTCCAGAGCTGGTTAAATTATGCCTTATGTTGTCCAATTAGGCATTCAAAGTCACAGAACTCTCACGTACTAACCATTTCATTTCCCCTTCTTGTTTTCTTCCTTTCCTTTCCCCTTTGCACCCATTTGAAGTTCCACCCAACCTGACTGTTCCACAAGAAAAGTCACCCTTGGTCACCAGAGAAGGAGATACCATTGAACTGCAGTGCCAGGTGACCGGGAAACCCAAGCCTATCATCCTCTGGTCCAGGGCAGACAAGGAAGTTCCCATGCCAGATGGGACAATGCAGATGGAGAGCTATGATGGCATCCTGCGGATTGTCAATGTCTCAAGGGAGATGACAGGGACCTACAGGTGTCAAACCAGTCAATACAATGGATTTAATGTCAAGCCAAGGGAAGCATTGGTACAGCTGATCGTACAGTGTAAGTCTCGGTTCCCTTTTACTCCATCTTTTCTGCAGTAATATTAAATTTTAAAATAATGGGTTTTTTGGGTATTTCATTTCAATCAGCAGATTCATATTTCCCTGTTGTGTAGATTGTTGAGTTGTTAATCTTCTGTGTGAAATTGGTTTTTGCTACACAGTCCTCTCTGAAGCAAGTGCATACTGCAATGTTTGGGTACCCATAGACCAGGGGTGGGGAACTACATCCCTTTTATGACCTGTGGATTTCAACTTCCAGAATTCTTGAATCATCATGGCTGGCTCAGGAATTCTAGGAGTCCGCAAGTCATAAAGGGGCCATAGCTCCCTACCAAACAATTGTCTTTGACTAAACTGGATGTAGAGTTTTGGTTAGTTTGAGCAGGGAATAAATTGGTGCATGATAGCATGTGAAGGATATCTCCCTTATTCTTCCTTGAATGGAAAAAAAAGCATTTAATCAATTTCCAATTAAATCATGTTGACATTAATTGGCAGGATTCACCCATCATGACAAAACTTATTGTTGCGTTTAGTTAACATGTGTTGTCCAAACAATAAACCATAATATGGCTTACAATGATAGCTAGATTTGTACAGGATGCTAAGATTTTGACTGGTTTCCAAAAGACGCTGAAATGCAAATTATACAACTTCATTTTAATATACCTAAACATGCTATTTAATCCCACCAGTAAACCACAAAGCAGTTTTTTTTAAAAAAATAAAAAAAATAAAATGCTGGATATCAATCTTGTTTTAATGTAAACAGGTTTTATTCTTTCAATGGCACGTTCTAGAACTGTTTTAACCGGTCCTTTCTTGGTAACTGCAAACTAACTGGTAACCTTGATAAAAGCTTAAGTATTAGCAAATGATCTAGAAACCATATAATCATATGCCTGAAGAGTTATCTTAAGTAAGGTACATTATCCCTCTATATATGAGTTTAATCAGGATTGTGAATCTGAGGTGAACATCTTCCAGCTTCCCCTCTCAAATGAAAAAAATTGCCCTAATAAAACATGCTGATGGGTCAAAACTGTTTAGCCCTAGTTTGAAACTTCATTAAAACAATTAAAAAGACCGGGTCCCTTTGCAAACCCAATGATTGATTATGGGTCATCAAATTGTGGTTGACTCAGAGCAAACACAAATTGTAGAAATAATTTCTCCATTATGATCTCTCCTTAGTTCAGGCTTTCCCGCTGTGCATTCACACAGCCCCTGCAACTAAGTCCAGCCATCTTGCTGCTGTGATGACCTAGGGTGGGATACAAAATAAACACAGTCACAAAAAACAGATAAAGCAACTTTTATTCCTTCACTTTGCTTCCAAGCTCCAAATATCCTTGACCGGAGACAAAAAAAAAAAACTCCCACATGAGCAGTTACAAGAAGGAAAAAAATGCTGTTTAAACTAAAAATGCCTATAAATTATAAAGAGTGAAAAACAACACAAACTAGTCAAGATAAGGGCTTGAAGATGTCCACAGATAACAGAACACACACTGGGAAGGACGCCAAATTCAGAGAGGAAATAGAGATATTTCCATGCTTTGTTTACAGCACTGGCCTGTACGCATGTCCGTCCACTTATCCAGTTGTCACAGCTGCAAGAAGAGGATCAAGGCCCTCTCCTCCCCTGTAGACTACATCTCTCCCTTATTGTCTCCTCCCTGTGTACCCTAGGATGGATAGGGGATGGGCTTGGGTCCTCCTCTGACTGCCCAGCCGGCCTCTGCTCTTCCCCAGCCTCCTCCACAACCTCTGGAGCCACACTTCCACTCCCTGTCAGCTGTTCCTCCTCTCCCTCAGAGTCAGTCTCCACCAGGGGCATGACAGCTGCTGATTGTGCTGTTCTCTTTCCTTCCACTGAGTTTTTCTTGGTGGAGTTTTTGCATGATGTGAGCAAAGTAGGATGATGCAAGCCTAGTCACTTATGTCACAAATGAAAACTCTGGATTGGTTTGTTCAGTGATCCATCTGTTTGTTTTCTTGGTTGTACATGGTATTCTCAGGAGTTTTCTTCAACTTCCAAGTTCAAGGCCACCAATACTCTTCCTACTTTGTTGCTTCAAAGTCCAGCTTTTGCTTTCGTATAATGTTGCGGCTTGAATGATTTTGCTCTTTGTAGTTATAGAGACATCGCGGTTTTGGAATTTTTTTTCCAAGCCATCCAATGAAATATTTATTTTTGTCTTGCTGGAAGGGTGCTTTGAAAACCTATGCCTGGAAGAAACAAAACACAAGGAAGTGGGAACTGGAGAGAAATGTAGGTAAAATAAAAGAGATAAACTATCAGAGAAAAAAAGATATGGACATATACTTTTCTCTCATGAGAGTTGTAAACATTTAGAGCATAAACCAGTGCTCCCATATCTGAGAACTAGGCTGAAAAAAAAAGCAAACAACTTGTTATTTCCTTCAAGGCTCCTGGGACCCCCTTAATGTGTATTCTGAAATCCGATGCTCTCCAGGGGTTTTTCTCTTTAGCTCCTGCAGTTGAATTCCAAGCCAGTGGCTGTGCTCACAAGGGATTGTGGGGGTTGAAGTCCAACATGTCTGACAAGATTTGGGGAAATAATTGCCAACTTGATCTACATATATGTGTTGAGTTCATACAAGACATTAGACCTAGATTAAACAAATGCAGTGGTTGTGTTCATATAAAATCTGCCCACCCAAAGAAATTATGACATTATTATGGATGATCTACTTCTCATTGTCAGGATTCCAGTGATCTCTGTAATTAAACCATAACTCTCCAGCCAAACTTCAAAAACTTCAAAGGATTTATTAGAGATGGAATACTGGCATGACCTGTATGAAGTCAACTGTGGCATACGCAATTTACAATCACCTGTGACCCTGTTTTCCCCCTTCCAGATTCTCCAATTAAGCATATTCATGGGTTGGGGGCAAAAGTTCTGGTAGCTTAGTTACAATCTTTTTAAGATAAGTGTTGGAATGTACTTTTGATTTCAGACTGCTGCACTGCTCTTCCAGATTTCATCCCCCACCTCTTGTTTATGACAACCCTAAAACAGGCATAGGATTTATGAGTTGACACTCATATGTTCTGAAAACAGCTGGCTTCCCACAGTGGGTTTTACCATGGATTTCCAGATGTTGCCTGCAAGTAGTCATTCTGATTCCAGGTATTTTCCCTCCCAAATTATGCTTTTTAGTGTGCAATTTGATCAATTAGGCCATAGATATCTTGAACTTTACAGTTCTCCATCCTTCATCTAATGCCCTTTCAGAAAAAGAATATAGGGAGAAGATTTCAAACCTTTATCAACAACTGACACACAAATATGTATATATGGCCCCGTCTTACAAAAAGAAGAGTTGGGTCCCTAACTTTGTTTCTCTTTAAATTAGAATACGCCCTCAATTCTTTCATAGCTGAGGACAAGGACTCAGTATTCTTTAAAAGCCTTGAAATAGAATGTGTAAAAATAATTTAAAACTGTTGTCTTAGAGTGTCTCAAAGGGAAGGTTGGTACGATCTTTGGCTTGCTTCCTTAGATAGCTTATTCAGTAAAAAAAGGAGAGCCATTTTCTCTCCTTATCCATTAAAATGGTTTTTAAGCAGATATTTTGCTGCTTGCAAGAGGGGAGACACTGATTCCAATAAGGCTTTGCTAATGATTCTTGAGGTCTCTGCTAAAAGCTTAACCCAAGATAACATAGGCTGGACTTCTGTTTGATCTAGGTACTGTAGATGACATATGGGTAAAAACACTGTATGTACATGTAAATACTGTTTATGTGTTCTGGTGGCTTTTTTATTTTTTTGACAGCTTTTACAAAATGCTGCAATGATTCCAATCCATCTAATATTGCAAGGGAAATCATTTTAGGAGCTTATTCCAGCATTGGTTTTTGTTATTGTTTTTCTTTCTGCTTAGGAATACTTTTAAAACTATCTTTGTTACCAAAGCATCAGCGGTAGTCAGTGTTATACAATCTGTCTGACCTTATCCCCAAAATAGTATTAACATTTTTATTTTCTTCATTTTTGACAGGTAAAGGCATGTTTAAATTCAGTCCAGGCTTATTTCCAATGAAAGCTTGGCTGTGTGGAGTATCTTATTAAGATACTCCCTTCCTTCCTTCCTTCCTTCCTTCCTTCCTTCCTTCCTTCCTTCCTTCCTTCCTTCCTTCCTTTTTTCTCTCTCTTTCTTTCTTTCCTTCCTTCCCTCTTTTCTTCCTTTTCTTCTTTCTTTCTCTCTTTCCTTCCTTCTTTCTTTCCTTCTTTTCTTCTTTCTTTCTTTTCTTCTTTCTTTCCTTCCTTCCTTCTTTTTTTCTTTCTCTTTCCTTCCTTCTTTCATTCTTTCTTTCCTTCCTTCTTTTCTTCTTTCTTTCTTTTTTCTTTCTTTCCTTCCTTCCTTTTTTCTTCTTTCTTTCTCTCTTATCTTCCTTCCTTCTTTCCTTCCTTCCTTCCTTCTTTTTTTCTTTCTTTCCTTCCTTCCTTCCTTCCTTCTTTCCTTCCTTCCTTCCTTCTTTTCTTCTTTCTTTCTCTCCTTCCTTCCTTCCTTCCTTCCTTCCTTCCTTCCTTCCTTCCTTCCTTCCTTCCTTCCTTCCTTCTTTTTTTTAAAGGAAGCAATTATATCAATTTCCATCTGCAATAATGCTGTCATAAACTATGAATAGAATACAGGTGATTCTATTGATTTAAAACTGCTTATTTAGTGACTGTTCAAAGTTACAATGGCACTGAAAAATGTGACTTAAGGCCATTTTTCAAAGTTATGATCTTTGCAGCATCCCCATGAACATGTGATTAGAATTCATATACTTGGTAACCAGTTCAGACTTCATGACTGTGGCTGTGTCCCAAGATCATGTGGCCCCCTTTTGCGACCATCTGACCAGCAAAGCCAATGGGGAAATCAGATTCCCTTCCCCAACCATGTTACTAACTTAACAAATGCAACGACTGGCTTAATAACTGTGGCAAGAAAAGTCATAAAATGGGGCAAATTCACT